GCCAAAGGAATGGACGGATATTTAGGAAGTTAACAAGAAAATATGTAAAATATGGTACTTAAAAAAGTAACGGAATATGAAGAGAGGATCGCGGCAAAGGTAAACGGAAATATTTTTCAGGAGGCTCACGGAAAATACAAAAAGGCCTGCACAGGAGGCACGAGGCACGGTGTTACACACCCAGGCCACGCGCGGCGGCCTAGCGCGACCGGCGGAGTGCTCGATCGGCGGAGCCGGCGCCCGGCATATTCAAGGCGCGCAGCAGCCCGCCGAGGGCCTCGGGCGGCACCTGCCGCCCCACTTCCTGGGCGAGGCCTGGCCCCGCCGCGGCTGAGGCCTGCCGCCCAGCGCGCGCGGGCGAGGCCTGTCCCCCGCGCGGGCGGGGCGCACTCTCGCGCCGTGCGCGCGGGGCGAGGCCAGCCGCCCAAACGCGCGCGGGGCCTGGCCCCCCACCTGATATTCGCGTCTGGGCTGCGGCTCCGCTTGACCACCTGCGCCCATTCCCCGGACTGGGGCTTGCGGTATATGCGCTTGCCAGGCCTCCAGGCCGCCCCCCGGGCAATCGCCAGCGTTGGGGGGGGCCCTTGTCGCCGTATGAATCTGCTGGGAGAAACAGCGGCGGCGGACAACGGATTATGCCGCCGGCAGACCGGGAGGACGCAGGCGGGCCCGTTGCGCGAATCTCCTGGACGACGCCGGGGTCCGCTGCCGGGGCCCGGAGCCCCCGGAAACCTGGGCTATTAAATCGGCATTATCAGCCATTTTTCTCGGTTTGCGCCCTTGTCTAAAATTTTGAATCGAAACGAACAACCTTTTCTCTCTCTCCCGCTCGTTTGCGATCCTTGGCTTTAACCGCTTTTTTGGCCATTTTAAAATTTAATTTTTATTGCATTTTATTGTGATTAATTTTGCGCACGTCAAGAATTTAAGATGAGATTAAAAAATTAATTAATATAGATCTAAAGCAGGAGCTTACCTGGCGAGTTTTAAGACGTGGTCGACGATTAAATCAGGTAGTAAACGAAACTCCTGCTATTTAATTTTTGACTTTATGCATACTTCGTTTCTATCTCTTAATATTCTATAATTTGCATAAATGCATTCACTATCATCTTAGACAAATAAACCTCTTAAATTATTGATAAGCTTAAATGCACGGTTATCATAATCGTGGGTATTAAAGTTTAAAATCCACAATATTGGCTAAAAGAGCCTAGTTAAATTAATACTACGGTTTAATTGCTTATTTCGAACAATCTCGCCTAAAAGTCCAATTAATAAATAATTGTGGTAACGTCCTCATTAATCAGTTCTTTTTGGCAACAGATTGCCTACATTAATCAATCAATTTTGCGCACTAATGCCTTATGGTCTAATCGATTTTTTAGCAAAACGAATTGCTTAAATCAATACTATTTTGGCCAAAGGCCTAAATAAACCATCTTTACGCAACAAATCGCGTCTAAATCGACAATTTTTGGCAAAAATGCTTTAAAATCACACCATTTTGGCTTCAAAGCGTAAAAATCGACATTTTTTGGTAAATGCTTAAAATGAACCCAATTTTCGGCCAATAGGCTAAAATCAACCATTTTTGGCGAAACGCCTAAATCTGCACATTTCTTGCGCAAACATTGCCTAAAACAACACAATTTTGGCCAAAGCGCCTTAAAATCAACCATTTGGCGACAATCGCTAAATCGAACATTTGGCACAATTGCCTAAATCAAATCATTTTGGCTAAAAGCCATTAAAAATCAACATTTTTGGCAACATGGCTAAAAATCATCAATCTTTTGGCGAAATGGCCCTAAACAAATGCACAAGTCATACCAAAATCACGACAAAGCATAGCACAAACATGCACAAAGCTACACAAAATCACGCACAAAGCATACACACAAAATGCACAAAGCCTAACACAAAATATGCACTAGCATACACACACCCATCGCATTAGCCTATCATTCAAAGCCCTTAAAAGAGCCATCAACTCGTGACTTTGATCTTCATTCAAACGGAATAACAGTCAGGCAACGTTGCGATTTCACCCCGGGTGGCAGTCAAATCACTCAACATTTCAATTAATCCATCATTTACCTTGGCAAGCATTCATCCATCGTTAGTTTATCGGCATAAACCTAGTCTGGAATCCTCTCGGGTTCGTAGACTATGTTTAATCATTGGGATAATTAATCTAGTACTAGGGTTAATTAAAATGGAGTCCACTTAGGTTTTTTTCCTAGTTTCCCTAAAATAATTAAACAACAAGGTGGCGACTCATACATTCACGTGCATTTCTATCCTTTATCATATGCATCGTATGCCTATGACATTTGGGGTAGGGGTTCACAGTTTCCGCAGTGTATATGTCTGACAATCCTGTCCAGCATCAACGCACAAAACACATTGAGATCGACATACACTTTGTAAGGGAGAAAGTTTGAATAGGCCACATTCGGGTCTCACATGTCCCATCCGCTTTTCAATATGCTGAAATCTTTACCAAAGGCCTATCTCGACAGTTGTTCCAGTCATTTCGATCCAGCTTGAGCGTCTGTCCTCTGCCCGCTCAAACTGCGGGAGAGTCTTAGCCGATGATATCTCCATAGATCATTCCTCTGATTTAGGAACAGATTACAATTAATTTCCTGTAATTAATCTCTGTAATTCCTTTCCATATTCTGTTTGTATTCTCCCTATTTATTGTACATCAATACAGATCATCAAGAATTCCAAATCCTCAAACACTTTCAGTATGTTCTTTTTCAAAATAAAAAAAAAAAAAAAAAAAGAAGAGAAAAAACAAGACAGAAAAAAAAAAAAAAAAAAAAAAGAAGAGAAAACAAGACAGAATTAAAACCTTGCTTCTGACCAACGAAGGCAACTGCCGCTCATCCCCTATGAGGACAGCATGGTGGATACCAGGGAGTAATAGAGGAATAATTGATTCACACTCTTTAAGTTGAGCAGCTTCATCAATGATTAGTATTTCCAGTCGTGATATTTCTTCTGCATGCAACTTAGCAGCGCTTGAAACAGTGCAAAAAATCAAGCGAGCACTTTTGAGGCAGAAACTTTTGATTTCATGTTTCTGAAAGCAATCTGGAAGAATAAACGTATCACAAAGTGATTTTAATAATTTGAGACAATCTTTTGCAGTTACACTCAGTCTAGACTGCTCAGTAAAGCTGCCCATTCTGTTTGTTTCATCCGTAATATCACTTAAGGCATGTTTTAATCCTTGACTAACACCAGCTAACAAAGTTTCGAGGAGTTCAAGCAACTCAAGGGATTCAATCATCTTTTTTACAATTCTTAATGAAATGATAGAAGTTGGTAAATGAGTATACATGCTCACCACATGCATTTTGATCTTGTCTTTGCAGTCATTGAATGCTTGCTTCCAAAAATCATCTAATGTCAATATTTCAGCGTCAAATCTTTCAGAAAGAGCATACCTTTCCTGTTTCCTGTAATGCTTACATTGGCGTTCCTTCATAGAATGAAATTTCTCCTTCCAATTCTTCTTGCTCTCTTCTAATATTTGGGATATTATCCTTTTCCAAGTATTATTATTTTTGGTTCTGCAGTTGTGAGCATTTCTATAATCATGCTTTTCTTGATTTCTCTGAAGCTTCTCTTTTCCAATAATTTCTTTTTCTTGCTCCTCAAGGTTTTTATCTTCCTTGCCATGCTTCTCCGCTTGGATTTGTAAGTACTCATAGTATTGTTTATCAGGGTCCTCAAGCAGGCATATCATCAATTCTAAACAATGATTCCAACCGGATAAAGGTGCCAAAGACTTGGCAAGAACATCAGCCCGATAGTCAAGGAATACATCAAGAAGGTCATCACGGTTATCAATCTTCATTCTCTCACCATTCCCAAATAATATTACATCCCCAAGACCATAAGTTTGATGTTGAAGGGTAGGCATTACCAAATTCAGGAGCCGTGTTGTAACTTCCAACACTGCGACATTAGTTGGGGCACAGGTAAGTGTCTTGCATTTGCTTTTCAAAAGTGCAAATACTAGTGAACCCACTGTCTTTGTTTTTCCAGTCCCAGGAGGGCCCCATATAAGTTTTACTGTATTGCGATGATAGCATTCCCTCATAGCTATGCAGCTTAAAACTGCTTCTTCTTGGGAGTCATTAAGATCAAAAGAGCGAATTATTGCACCTAAAGTTGATACATCAACACTATACCTTTCTTGAGAAAAACACTGAGCATAGTTTTCCACTACCTGTACAAGAAAAGATTTGACATAACATGTGCAAGTAAAAAGATACTCTACCAGATCATGTTATGCAAGTCATAAAAAGAAGTGCTCTGGTGATAGAGAAAAGTTGGAGGATAGCAATTTTAACAAAATCAATAAAAGAGGTTATAAATATAGAACTGAAGTAACACAGAAATAAAAAATTTACCGAAGAATTAGTTTGCAGTACTTGTTTGAGAATGTTCATGTTCCTCCCACATAGTTCTGAATTCAGTGCTTTCCATATCCGCATATTCGTTGTCATGTTCGACAGAAAAACAGTAAAAAGAGTCCTCCTCCTCTCAAATTTTTGCACATCTTGTTCAGATTCAATGGGTTTTGACGATAAAATTTGAATATCATGATAATAGTCATCATCAATGAACTTGATCCTCACCTTTTGAACTAAGGCAAACACACACGATCCTTTAGGCCAGTTCAAATCATCAATGCATTTTGGCCTTACATTGGTCAAAGCAATGAGATCTCCGTTCTCAGGCTCATAGATTTCCACCTCATTTTCATCATTAGTTATTTTATTTATTACAACATCATAGATTAAATTATCAGGAGCCTTAAAATCATCCGATGGTTTAATGCATTCTATTTCACTCGCCGGTGCCGTGGACAATATTGTCATGCTTGAACACAAATCAAAACGAGTTTCTTCAATTAGTGGGAAAATGAAAGAGTTCATATAATGACCTACTGAAGAGAATGTCTTTGGGATTCGGTTCACCTGTAAAGGTGTATCCATAAAATAAGAAGAAACATCAACAGAGTAAGATATTGTTATGAGAAAACAGGCTATATAGACTGATTAGTAAATTTACAATGCGAAATTGTAAAGCTACATGTTATACAGAAAGGAGTATAAGACATTCATGAAACAATTCTAATTAATGAACTAAACAGAAATGAGTAATGAAATGCAAGAGAAAAATGCCAAAAATAAGGTCGACGACAAATGTTCTTTGCTTGTAACCACAGTAACAGCAACCTCTGTAATACGGCCATGTATATTCAGATAATTAAAGTCCCTAACCATTTACACTGTGCCTAAAGAATTCCCTGTAATTGACAACATTTTTAGCAATTGTCATTCTTCCATGAGCAATATGCCATGACTACAAAGCTTTTTATTAATGGAAAATCAACAGTTGCATCTACTGCAATTTGGATGTAAACCTTAACAAGTAAGATTCTATCAGTATCTTCATGCCCTTTTCTTCAGAGAGGCATCAAAATTTTATCTAAAGGTCGTCTATTGGGAAGAAATCACAAATGGAAGAGCAAATTAAAATGCAAAAGAAGATACAGAACAATGAAAATAAGTAACTCAAAGCCAAAAAAATAAGAGCACAGCTCATAATCTGAAAAGAGAGAGCCATCGCCTGACATCCATTTGGTCAAAAAATCACTAAAGGAACCATCCTCTGTAATCAGCAACAAGTCAAATATCTTAAAAAACCTTTCCTGAGCTGATCCATGCCAACCTCCACTCTCCAAACCTTGTTCCAACCATAACCACTGCATAGCAGAGATCTCCAATCATAATATCCATTTGTGGAATCACCAAATTTGATAGTTTGGGAGAAGACTTAGAATTCATAATCTTGCCTGCAGTGAAGAGGTACAGTTCCTTCTTTCTCCAAACCTCTGTTTCTAACATTAACCCTACCATTGTCTCATTTAGATAGATAGATAGATAGATAGATAGTAATGCACACAGATGGTACACTTAGATGACAATTTAATAATTTAAGTCAACAAGATGCTCAAGAACTGAACAAGGCAATGGAAGTTGAATGCAGGATGCATTGTCTGATCCTGTGTTTAAAAATTCCTGAAAAAACCAAAATGAACATCAGGGCTGGAACATATATATTCACAATACATGGAGCTTGCCTAAGTTCGCAAGAATTGTATGAATCTACTATGCAAACAAATATGATTGATCTATCATGTTTCTATGGTAGTAAACAGTCATATTCCAACAGCATTATCTTTGGTTCATTTTCACAAGCTATTTTATCATGTTTCTATGGTAGTAAACAGTCATATTCCAACAGCATTATCTTTGGTTCATTTTCACAAGCTATTTTATCATGTTTCTATGGTAGTAAACAGTCATATTCCAACAACTGCATTATCGTTGGTTCATTTTCACCGCTATTCCTCAAACATCTTGCTTCAGATTACTAAATATTACATGGCTTTTAACCACATTTGTTTATCACTATTATCTAGAGAGGAAACCGAAGATTGGTTCATCCTAACATATCTTGAGGCAATCAAAGGTAAGTGAGGGAGAAAGTTAGCTGGCTGAAGCTGAACCAGAGCCTACTGAGGTAAGGAGGGAAAGTCAAACCCCGAGACTGAGCAAGCTGGAGCTACTGAGCATTCCTCCTAGCACCAAATTTTTCATACCTTGTTCAGTGAAAACTCTTAATTGTACTGAGAATAATCATAGCATCACGGCTGAAGCTGAACCAGAGCCTACTGAGGTAAGGAGGGAAAGTCAAACCCCGAGACTGAGCAAGCTGGAGCTACTGAGCATTCCTCCTAGCACCAAATTTTTCATACCTTGTTCAGTGAAAACTCTTAATTGTACTGAGAATAATCATAGCATCACGAGCACAAGCACCTGAGCCCATAACAATAAATGCCATGGATATCTATAATAATAATATTAATACCTAAGTTTTACTTATAAGATAAAATTGAGTAAATAACACCAGGCTTTTAAAACGTGTACAAACTGTTTTGTATCCTTACAAATCTAGAATGCCTCTAAAAAAATGGTCTCTATGAAGCTTGAGCTCAAAAAACTACCACTACACGTCTTATAAACGTTCCTTTCTGAAACAATATAAGATTATAAATATGCATAAAAATAATTTGCACCAACAATATACTCAAATGTGCAACAGCAGGCACATCATACATGTATGTACATTCACACACAAACATGTAAACACGTTGTTTGTTTTCTTAAGAAAATAAACTCAAATTTGAAAGAAAGAATCTTCAAGACTGTCATTCTCTTTTCCTCTGATTTCAGTTAATACATCTTAACTCAGTCTCATAATCACTACATCATTATACTATCACCGCTTTTGTAGATGATAATAATTACTATGTCTAAAGGGTTTCTAAGAGCAAGAGACTTCCACATTGTGGCTCTAGTGAAGGGTTAGATGTCTGTGGCCTTTTCCTTGCAATAATTACAAGTATATACCTCAGAGCGCAAAAAATATGTATAACGTTTTGCACTTCTCCATTCCAATTAATTTTTCTGCAATACACCTCATGGTGGTTTAGGGTAATACTAATGTTGAAAGTTGAAAAATATTTAAAGAATGGGTGTCTAAATTTGCAGTCCATAAGCCGACGACAACAAGAAACTAAAGGAGACTAAAAAGAAGAAGACAACTATAGAGAAAGAGAGAGGAAAAACCTTTTGCCTGTAACGGTCTTTGTCAAGAATATACTGAAGAGACCAAGAAAAGACCAACTGTAAAAGGTTTTTCCCATTGTAAGTCCACCCCATATTCTTGTCCCTGAAATCAATCAGAACCCATATTTCACTACCATGTCTACAAAGTATAAGCCATATTGAAACCCAAAAAACAACTGTTATACTTATTTTTATATATTGAAGTAGACTGATAAAAAGAGCAGTGTTAATGACAACAGTGACCAAGTTAAAAGAGAACGGAGAGAACGGTACATGTTAGAGTCCTAGATCATAGGAATCGCGCCGAGAGAGTGCAGTAAACAAATAGATTGCTTGTGTTTATTTATATGCGGAGGGGGGGAGAAACCAGTGCTTTCAAAACCGGATCAAACATTAGAATTGATTTATTACTGGATTGAACAGAACGAAACTGAACCAAATTTTTTACTTTTATTATTTTAGGAAAAGCCCTTTCAAAATGGGTCATTATACCAAAAAGGATTTGCCTAATATGGAAATTAAGTAAGTTAGGATTTCAGGGTGTATTGGATTATAATTGTATTAAATTTTAAAAGAATTTTTGAATTTGACAAAACTGAAGGATTTTCTAAAATTTTCATAGATTTTATTAGAATTCTACGTAGAATTTTATGGAATTGGTGATATTTTTTTTATAGATTTTGATTGACTTTGATGTAATTACAATGATTTTTTAAATATCCAATCAAAATTAATTTCATGACCCAATTGAATAAATTAAAAGATTTTGGAGCTCGAAGAAAAATTGAAAAACAATGAGGGATCAAAAAGCAAAATGCATCATCTTCTTCAAAATAATTTTTTTTCTTCCTTAAAACATTGCTGGGCCACAATGAAAGATCTGCAATAGCCAGCGTTGGCCATCCTGCGCTCCTGTTAACCGCTATATTAAACGAATTCGATAGTGGGTACATTATCCATTATTAGTAAAAAATGTTTTTTAAATAAGTTTGAAATTTGAATAGTTAAAGATTCGCGGTAATCTACCCATTTAAGAGGTACTTTCAACAGGTTTTGAATGGATACGTATAATAAACATTTAAACTGGTTCGAATGTGGGTACTTAAATTGGTATTTAAACGGGTTTAAAACGGATATTAATAGTAAAATTTTAAACAGATACCTATATAGGTAATTTAAAATTTGCGAGTACCTGCTCTACTTCCGTTCTATAAAGGAAGTATGTTGGATTAAAACTCTGTTAGATTTTTTTAAAAGATTTTTGAAATCTTTGGGTTGGATGGTGGATTTGTGATTAACTTTTTTATTCATACCTAGCACTCTACAATCCAACAAAATCAATAATTTTATAGAATTACTCCAAATCAATAATTTTTTGAATACTATCAAATTTGTATGAATTTTTAAAAAGTTATGATTGAATACTATCAGATTTTTATGGATTTCATAACAGTATGAATTGAATACTATAAAATTTTAATAGACTTCAAAAACATCTAAATTGAATACCATTTGAATTTTAAAATCTTTTAAAATTTAATTGAGTCTTAATCCAATACACCCCTTTAAATATATTCCTGTCATAAATGAGTATAACAATAAATGATATAAATTTGAACTGATCATGTTATGAGTTCACTTGCTTAACTTGTTTAGCATGTTTAATTAATGGTAAAAAAGAACTTTCATATATAATATGCATACTAAGCAGGTTATATATGTTATACATGTCGGGTTATTTGACCCATATACAACCTCTTTAATTAAACTAATTGAATTTTTTTATTCTTATATGATCCATTTAATTAAATGGTTACAAGTGTCATATTTATGTCACTAGCTTAATTTTTGTGTCATGTTCATATTTAAATATTTAATACAATTATTAAATAAGTCGTATTAGTGTTAATTCTAATAATGTTACACGTTAAGCGGATTCATGTCGAAACATCAACCTGTTTTAACCAATGTTTCCTAAGCTTCTTTCCTTCTGAACATTTACCAAAGTTAATCATTGTTTCTTTGAATTTTGGCCTTCTTTTTTTGTTGCCATGGGATAAGGTAACAAAGAGGATTCTCATGTGAGGTCCAAGTGAAAATGGAGTCTACAAGTTTCGTCCTTCAGTGCCTCTCATATACGCCATGGGTATCCACATCCTTCTATTAATGATTGGCAAGTTGTCTTGCGTCACCCAAGTCGATGAATTGTTTCTCAACTAATAAAAACTTTCAATTTGCATTGCTCGAATGAAGTGTTTCAGATTTGTTCTTCTTGTCATTTAGGAAAATTAGTTCGGGTTCCAACAGCTACGGTTGAGCATCATAGTACTACTTTCTTTCAAATTATTCATGCTGATATATGGTCCCCGACTCCTATTTTATCTTCTTTAGATCATGGTTATGTTTTTATTCTTATTAATGATTATTCTTGTTTTGTTGGATTTATCTTTTAAAAAAAATAAAGGTGTGTTGCTTTTATGTTTTTTGATTTTGAACATATGGTTAAACACCAATTTTTCTAATTTACTGTCTTTCCATTCTAATTGGGGTAACATTTACGAAGCTTCATTCTTATTTTCAGAAAATTGGTATTCTACAGCGTATTGCTTGTCTGTATACCCATGAATAAAATGACATACTTGAACGTAAAATCCGACATCTTATTAATACTTCATTAACCTTAATTTCTCTTGCTAATTTATCTAAAAATTTATGGAGTCATACTTTTGAGACTGTCATTTTTTCTATCGATAATTTGTCATCACTAGTATTTGAAAGTACTTGTCCTTCTTATTTTTTGTACAAAATGCATCCACCTTATCTAGACTTAAAACCATATGGCTGCACTGTTTTTCCCCTTCTCCATCCATACAACAAGCATAAATTTGATTATCGTAGTAAACCTACATTTATCTTGGTCCTAGTCCTTCTCATTATGGCAGTAGATGCTTAGATTATTTTATAAGGAGAGTTTATTTGGCCAGACATGTTGCCTTCAATCTTAAAGAGTTTTTATGTTAATCAAAATTCAAAACGTTTACTAGGATCTTTCTCTCAATCGTGGCTGCATCTCACAGATTGTACCCCATCTTCTATTGATCTCGCTACGATATTTAAGTATGTTATCTAATTCTTTGTCTCCAATTTAAATACTAACTCCCCCTTGCAGAGTTCTTCTTCCTCTCAAATACCTCAATCTTCCTTGAATCTTTTTTCTTCTCAACAACCTATTTTATCTCCAACAAATTCTCTAACTCAAATTTTAAACTCCTCCTCATGTCAGTCATCCTATCTAATTCTCAATATTCTACTACTTGCCAATTCCTAATTTTTCTCCCTAAACTGATATTTCCAACTCTTATTCGTTTTCCCAACTAAATTACAACTTGTTAACTTTCCTAACTATTCATCAGATGAACCTCCTTCTCTATCCTTACCTCATCATACTTCACTATGTACCCATCCCATGGAATTACAACCTTCAACAATGTTTAAATGCTAAATCCTTTTAGCCATTAAACCAAAGTTAGCCACTAAATCCATTGACTACCTCTCCATCGAACCTCAGACCTTCAAACATGCTTAACCATTCTCATAGTGGCGAGATGTAATGCAATCAAAATTGAATGTCGTCCTTGAAAATCAAACTTGCACATTGGTTCCTTGTTCCAAAGTAAGAACATCAGTAGCAACAAGTGGGTTCTTCATATAAAAGGAAACTTACAGGAGCAATTGAGTGTTATAAGATATGTTTGGTAGCCAAAGGGTACTCTCAACTGTTGGACATTGTTACAATGAGATGTTTAGTGCCATAGTAAAGCCAATAATTGTTCACATAGTGCTCTCTTTAGCTACAACTTTAAAGTTCCCTATTAGTCAACTCGAAATTTTAAATGCTTTTATGCATGGTTTTTTGGATGAGGAAATATTTATGGATAATTTGGTTTATTGACGATCGCCATCCTGATTTTGTTTGTAAACTTGCCAAGTCCCTATTTGGGCATAAGCAAGCTCCACGAACCTTTTTTAATGGATCACCATCTTTTTACTTGGTCTTAATTTTCAAGCATCCAGTGTTAATTCTTCTTTATTTATTTTGAGGTAAGAAAATTTTATATCTATATGGATGACATCTTGCTTACTTAGTCTAATTTGGCAAAACTTAAATGGTTTTTGGAAAAATTAAGGCTTCAATTTCCAATTTGTGATCTTGGTTCCATATATTATTTTTTTGGGAGTTGAACTTACTCACTTGTTCACCGGTTTGTTATTATCTCAAGCCAAATATATTTGCTATCTTTTGAGGACCAAAAAAATGTTGGAAGTAAAACATGCTCCACTCCTATTGTGAGTAGTACTCCTTTGTCCAAAAATTCGGGTATAGCTCTCTCTAATGGTGAGGAGTATCAACAAATTGTAGGTTCCCTTCAATGCATTGATCTTTTACAAAAACATGATGTGACTTTTTCAGTTAATAAACTTTCTCAATTCATGCATACTTCCATATAATATCACTGGATAGCCACTAATGAATTCTACGTTACTTAAAAGGATTGTAAATTTGGGTTTATTTATTGCTAATGACTCACCTCTTTCTCTTTAGTGTTTTAGTGATAATGATTGGGTTGGTTGCTCTAATGACAGCAATCAACTTCAACTTATGCTAATAATCTCATCTCTTGGTCAAAGCAACACGAAATTGCCTAGCCGTCTACAAAGAATGAGTATAGATCCATGGCAAATGCTACAACTAAACTTATGCGGCTTAAGTCCTAGCTGTTTGAACTTGGTTTCTCATCATCTTAACTGGCTACTCTGTGGTGTGATAACATTAGGGCGATTTATTTGAGTTTAAATCTGGTATTTTAAGCCCACACTAAGCACATTGAGTTAGCCTGCCATTTCATTCAAAAACAAGTTCAGGAAAAAGTCACTCAAGTTAAGTTCATTTCAAATGCCGATCAAATAGCTGATATTTTGATAAAGCCATTAGGTACCCAGTCATTTGTTCGTCACCATGACAAGCTTTAGCTCTTGCCTACTCCGCCTTCAACTTGAATGAGGGTTTTAGGATAGTATATTTTCTTAAATATTTTCTGTCGTCAATAAGTGATTCTCTTATTATTGTTTTCTTATTCTTAAGGCTAAAGTATAGCTTATAGTTTGTACCAAAAGCCTTGTATATAAAAGGTTGATATGTATTTATGATGTCTTGTGAAAAATATAACATTGTTACACCCTTCTTGACAGTTGTCGCTGTGGAAAGATTTGCAATATTATTAAAATTTATAAATTGAGGTGCATAATAGGTCATTCACAAAATTCATGTAACATCCCTTCCCGGTCCACCCATTAACCCGAATGAACCGAACCGAGACGCTACAATCTGGTTGAACTTATGTCCTGTCATGTTGATAACCGAACCGAGACGCTTACAATCTGGTTGAACTTTATGTCCTTCAGTTTGATATTATACTTGTACGCTAAATATGCTAAATATGAATACAAAACACTCCCAATTAAACTCCAAACTTCCAACATCTCCAAATAATCATCATAACACAATAACACTTTATATATTGTCATAACTGTATCAATCCTCAATAGCATTTAATATCCAGCAATTAAGTGCATTCATTAGATATATCAAGTCTTCATGAACTAATCATACCAACCAAATATTTCATATTCACTCATTTCATCAGTACTATTCTTATCTCCAAATACTGATGCCAAAATAATTACATGTTTCAATTATATTTCCAAGTACATAAGCTCTAAAGAAAAATGTAATAATTATACATGTCATAAGTCTTAATTATACAACTCTCAATCTACTATAACCAAATTAGTCACTTCTGCTTTGACTTCAAGTCTTCAAGTAGCAACCATGATCTTCAAAATACGCGTGGGTTAAAAATCGACGCGCTGAGTATAAAAGCTCAGTTGGTGCTCATAATTTCACATACTTAAACAGTGCGATTGGCAAAACTAACCTTAAAATACCAAAGTTGCATAAAATCATTGATAATCTTAGAATCATTAAATTTCAACATAAATGTACCCTTTATAGCAAAGAATAAAACTTCTAATTTTATAATATAAATAATTTAGTTTCTAATATTCATACTCCTTTACATGAACCTTAATCCACCATATCATGAGACTCCATGAATCTACCCATGCTGTTCATGTATGCTGTTATTGAATTAACAAATTAAAACAAAGAACACATAACATTATATTTTTTCATATTTACTTATGTTCCTTATTTGTATGACTTACTGTACTTTTTATAGTCAACATCGTATAAGTTCCTAAATAATAAAAATCTCATTAACTGTATGGCTCCTTAAAATAAATAATTAAACTTGTAAGCATTACATAGATAACTTTCATGATCTCACCTTGATGTTCTTTAGTTGTATTGAATTCTGCAAACTTTTATAAAAAACTCAAATGGATATCTCACGAAGAAAGAAACATGGTAAAGCACATACATATGATAATAACCATTTGTAATTCCACATATGGGATAAATAATATGTAAGCACACATATTCTATAATTTCCTTATCGTACTTTATGCTGTATAACTTAAGCAAATTCCAATAAGGTTAGTATTGAAACCAAAATGATTAAGAAGAACTGTATGAAACTGGATGAATACTGTATGACTGGGTGCTATGGCCATTATGATAATCAATATTTCACTCAACGGCCGGTAAGCCGGGAGTGCCAAACCTTTATGGGGCGCGATCTGCTATTATGGGTGCACGACATAGCCTTATCTAAATGGTTTCTACCTAACCTCAATGGAGCATGATTATTGATATTTCAATTATATAAAATAAAGCATTATTAAACTACTTCATAATTTTCATAAACCATACTGCTTACCTGTATGCTGATAGCCTCGCCAGAGCGGGCTTGTGTCATGTTAGTTTTTCACAATTCATTTGCAATGCTTGCATTTGGTGTTGTATACATTGTTCATTATTGTCTTTTTGTTTGAAAATGAGTTGGATGCATTACAAATTGGAGGCATACAAGTTGAGAAAAGGAATACAATTGCATAGAAAAAGAGGTCCAAAAGAGCATCAAAACACAAGTCGCGAGCGCACCATGCAAAGTCTCGAGCGCGAGAAGCACATATGAGGGTCAGTGAGTTTACAGGTGAGATTCGCGAGCGCACAATGAAATTCACGAGCACGAGAAGCACAAAATGAGAGTCAGAGAGTTTACAGCCAAGATTCGCGAGCTCGACATGAAATTCGCGAGCTCGCGTCGTGTTTTCCAGCCTGCGCAGTGTATACTATTTTGGTCATATCTCTCAAATTATAACTCCGATTTAGGGATTCAAAAACCCATTGAAAGCTAACACATAGACAAACAAATAACTCTTCTATGACACTTCCTAATTCCATCATTAAATAGGGTCAAAATCAAGGTGAAGTTACTGGTTACTTTTCCAGCAAAACCTGTCCTGTTGGTCACGCATTGAACTCAATTCTTCTACTTTCATTTGTTCATTTTCATCTCATGCTTTTTCGACCATTATTCAGTCTTCTGACTCACATTAAACAACATATTTTCTCATTATTCAATACCACCACACAAATTCTCATACAAGAAAAAGAATTAAACTAAAAGAGATAGC